ATTTTAAAAAAATCCGATAGTTTGGGCACCGCAAGCTGTAGGAGCCACCATTGTCCCTGGCGCAGAGTGCTAATTTGTGTCTGAAATTACATATGATGAAGCAATCTTGTGCAGAATCTACCAGTCTACCATTCACCGCGTTCGGATGATAACGATCAGGCGGGACGTATGGAGATGGACCAGGGCCAGTGATCGACAAGGCTAACTAGCCCATCTGCACATGCAGTGTTGCCGATTTCCTAAGTCCACGTGAGCTAGGCATCAGAGGAAGAAGGGTCTACCATCTAGCCTAAGTGGTTTCATAAAACCCGCGGTGAGGAAGACCCATTTTAACCAGGCCCCCAGTCATGATTAGAACATAGTTTTCCTATTAGCCAGCGACTTTTCAGTCCACAAATGTCAGCACACCGTGATGATTCAAAAAGGTGGTTATAATTGGGAAACCAAATGTTAGATTCGATCTAGACAAACCTTTTTTCTATTCCACGGTCCAAAGACCTGTCTCAATCTCGCCGACTGAGAATGAGATTGAGGACAGTAGCCGGCAATATAAGGCCAACGTCTAGTGTGTGCTGCATCCAGACCCGGGTCTAGCGCGAGAGATGCCACGAAAGTCGCTTTAGTGAGGAGCAATCCCAGCATGATCCCCGGTTCCGAGAAGGGTCGAGTTACCCCGCCAGTTGGCAACTTCCCAAGGCACGACTAATAACTCATCGTCATAAATTCGAATGCGTAAAATTTATTGTATTTGGGAATTGTGCCTCAGTATCAGCGCACTCGTCCCTTCCACTCACCAGGAGCTTGTATAAAGTAGGTTTGGTTGCACATAGAGTGTGAGCCCTCCACGTGCATGGGTTTGGCGCAGCGTGACTCTCCATTTAGTCAACTACAACAGCTTCGCATTTGAATAATACACATTACACTGATCCATGGCACCTCTAAAAATACTGATTGAATAGGAGAAACGGATGGTGTTAAAAACGTGTTCTTGTTACTTTCACCTTGCTTCTCTGCCATTGCCATCGTCTGAACTGTTAAGATTGGAAACCTTCAAGTGAGAAAGGCATCACTTCTCTTATTAATCAACAGTACATTGTCCTCCTATATTCGGTTTTGAAAAATATTTCGCTCCACAAACCGCTTGTCTAAAAATATTATGCATACCCAGTTCGAACGTACAACCTCGAGGTGTTTTCTCAACCGGAATTGATTAATTTTCTTTTCACTTAATGTTTGTCTCCCCTACGAAAACCCACGCAATTCCAAATACCTGGTTTATATGTTATCAGTACTAAGTCCTGATTAAATCCGACTACCCGTTTAAGCTATTTGAAACACTGCGTTTTACTTTTACTCCTGCATGTTATGTCATTCATCAGTACGGATGTATGTTGCAACAGACCTCCGAGCGCAGTGAAGTTAGGTTGCAATCCAAACCAGCAGACTCAGTACTACCCTGACGCCGTTGCCAGTCAAGGTTGGTTTTGAAGGTGATGACATCCCACACAATTTCGCTTTAAAGTCTGCGTGGCCCATATTTTTACTACCTCAGTAGACTGCTAAACGGGGGAGTTGGCGGGTTGTGTTCATGATCGACTTTTTAATTGCCCGTTGAAGAAGCTACCGGGGAACAGGTTTCAAATTCACTATCGGTCAAGTCCTTTCTGTCAGTTGATTCTTCTGGACGCACCGACCGTGTTTCAGATCCATATAGAAAGAATTTCTTATCCAAAGTCTCGTAAAACCCATTGGTTACAGAGTGTATCGGTGTAAATAGTGGAAAGAAGAGACCAGATCCACGAAACAGGCAGTAAACAGTTGCTGGCAATGACGGTGCTGTTCAAGGGCTTGGCGATACGAAGTCATGACAGACTTCTGCCCTCACCGGAAATAAATTACTTTTTTCCATCTACTTATTGGGGTATAAGCGGAAGGGCTTCATAATGGCTCAATACTTTACCAGTGCTCGGCGTTGCTGTGGCCATGCCTGTTCTAGCCATCCTCAATGATGTTACATATTGTACCTTCACTCCTGGAGCCATGCGCTGCAGCGGTTCTAGAGGATGACCCACTCTCTTCTTGAACCTCTGAGACCGAAAACCAAAGGTCGAAGAATCGTCCTCATGTCTTGACAGAAGTGTGTTAAACCAAGCTTTGGGTTTACCTCATCAGTAATGTTGAACCAACAACGTGGGCGACAAAGAACGTGCCCAAACTACCCTAGTCATTTTTAGATGGCCTGCGATGTCGTTGAAATGTCTCGACAAGTGCAGTATGTCTCATTCCAGATGAAGTCGGTGTACCTTGCCCGAATAATTATTCTCAGGCAGTTTCTCTTGTCTTTGGCGCTTATTACCCTACATGCACGACCGTGGGGTAGGATTGACCGAATGAGTGTTCGGTACATCCGGATCTTAATGCCGATAAAGATATCGTGGCGGTCCCTATACGCCTTCGAGCGTTATAGAAGACTCTGCAAACGGCATATGTTTGGGTGACCATGCCCCCTCCCCCCTTATTTTACGCATTTGACAGCAGCTTCATCACAAGCTATTTCAAATCATCTGCCTCAAATTGACAACATTAGCCTCGATGAATGTCTTCTCATGGTCAAAAATGCGGCTCAAAAAAGCTTTGGCCTCCCCATTGCCAGGGATAAGTTGACTGATTTAGCGACCTCATTCATTTAAGACACTACACTCCGTAGGTTTTCATAGCTTATGGCCAGCCAGTCGGTACCATTAGTATATTCCAGGTCAGTCAGCTGACGCCCGGGTTCAAATTCACCGCCAACGAAACCACATAGGACCCTTCGGAAAATCCAGCGAGTTGCTTTGTTAAACAGGAAAGGAGACAAGGCGCAGCCCTGGTGAACGTCGGGTCAAATACCAGAGTGTTGAGAGAGCAGTACTAAAGCGGGCACAACCTTCATCATAGGGACAATGTTTGCCTGCATATCGTCTAAATCCACTGTCCGCCACATGAACTCACGATGGACAAAATCCAACGTTGCAGCAGAATTAGGAAGGAAAACGGCCGTTGATCGCTGATGGCCATGGTGGAGTTAAAGAATATATCGCAGCGTTTGATTTATACATGTCCAGTTCGCAACCTGGCATAGTTGGCTTTCGTCCTGTGCTCGCGCGCACATGAATCCGATAACGTTAATAGCGAATACCTATGCAGCAATTTCGACCAGCATTATGCCCCAGTAGTTCCCGTGCATTGTCCTATACTCCTCCTTGAAGATGGATAAAAGGATAACTGAGTCCCAGTCATCAGAAATGATCTCGTCTCTCCACGCCTGCCCAATCATCTCATAGAGTCGGGACGACGGAGTGTGTCGACGTAAGACTTGCCAATCCTTTATCAAGAAACGAGCTTACATCGTTTCGCCAACTAGGACGCTCGTTGTCGGCAACGGCTAGGTCATCACTCAGCCCGTTGCGACTGGACAGGGGGTTTGACGCTCGAACCCAGTAGTGGTCATTTGGGGCTTCTCGCTGGGAGTGATCAAAACCTTACGTGGGCTGTTTAGCTGATGCTCAGTAAGAGTCAGAGATACCCTAGTACAGTGCATAGCTTTATGGTGATTCTGTACATTGTTCTCTCGCTGCCAGAATTTAACTTGTTCCCAGTACAAGACTGACCATTGTACTGTGGGCAGCTCATACTAACTTCAGAAAGTGGCATTTCATGCATTGAAATTGTTTACGTGACGTAGTAGAATTGCTTTGAATCCTTCTGTTTCTGGTTGTCCACGCCATCCTGGAGCCCTGAGCAGTTCTACTATTCTTTTTCGAATCGTGTCTCCCTGAGACGATTAATCTTACGCCTTTTCGTCTTTTGAACTCTTTTCAGCCTTCTAATTTCTGCTGTGACAATGTCGACTGCCGACCCTCAGCCGGCAGACAAACCCATAAACCACAAGATTGGTATCATCTACCCACCACCAGAAGTCCGAAACATTGTCGATAAGACTGCCAGTTTCGTTGCACGCAACGGTCCCGACTTTGAGTCGCGCATTCGGCAAAATGAAATCAACAACCCGAAATTCAACTTTCTCACTCCTTCTGACCCCTATCATGCCTACTATCAACACAAGGTGCGCGATTTCGCAGAAGGCAAGGCGGTGGAAACGATAGGTCTCAAGGTCACGGCACCCAGTGCTGCGCGTTTGGGTCAGGATGCACAGAAGATCATGCAGGATATCTTTGTGCCTAAGGATCCACCTCCAGAATTTGAGTTTGTCTATGATCCACCCTCCATCAACGCCCTCGACATTGACATTGTCAAACTCACCGCCCAGTTTGTAGCCCGAAACGGGAAACAGTTTTTGGCTCAGCTGATGAATCGTGAGCAACGTAATTACCAGTTCGACTTTCTGCGCACGCAGCACAACATGTTCGGATATTTTACCAAGCTGGTGGAACAGTTCACAAAAGTGCTAATTCCCCCGCGAGATATAATCACTAGCCTCGAAGAGGACTTGAAGAACCCCAAGCGGGTGCTAGATCAGGTGAAGTATCGTGTTGAATGGCACAAGTACCAAGAGCGACAGCGCCGGCGTGAAGAAGAGGCGTTGGAGAGGGAACGTGTCGCATACGCCATGATTGATTGGCATGACTTTGTTGTGGTGGAGACTGTGGACTTCCAACCAAACGAAACCGGTAGCTTCCCTATGCCAACGACCCCCGAGGAGGTAGGTGCACGTGCCATCGCCGAAGAGCGGGGTGAAATTTTGGCGCAACAAAAGCAGCCCATAACGAATGTGCCCCCGCCTCCCGGCTCCTTCGATGCTTTACCCACCGATCTGGACGAGGAGGAGAACGAGTATGATGATGAAGGGGAGGACGAACTAGAGGCTGAGGAGGCCGCTCAGGCGGATGCCACAAGGCCGCACGAAGCACGACGGGAGGTCAGAGAGGATTCGGCTGCTGCCGCCCCTCCACCGGTTCCCGTCACCTCTGCCGAACCGTCTGAAGACCAACGGAAGCGCGAGGAAGAGGAAGAGGAGGTGGCAGATATGGAGGCGCCCACGGAGGACGACATGGAACTGTCAGACGAAGAAGAGCCACCGCCTCCACCATCATCACAGGAGTCCGGCACCGCTAAGATTACCTTTAAACAACCCTCCCTACCCATGCGGCCGGCTCCACCAACAGTGGACCAGGTTCTCATCCGACACGATTATGACCCTAAGGCAGCAACAGTCAAGGAGATGGCTAACCAGTTTCAGTTGGTATCGCCCATCACCGGCGAACCAATTCCTGCCAGTCAAGCTCAGAAACACATCCGTTGGGGTTTGCTAGATCCGAAGTGGGCAGAACAGCGTGAGCGTGAAATTGCCGAGAAACGAGAGCAGGATCAGGTCTACGCCACTGGCAGTCTAATTGAAAGCAGTCTCAAGCAGCTAGCCAAACGCCGCACAGACATTTTTGGGGTGGGCTCTGAGGAGACCCAAATCGGCAAGACCCTAAATGATGGCAGTGAGGAGGAGCAGCAGCAACAGAAGTCGGATAAACTCATCTGGGATGGGCATGCGATGTCTGCAGAAACGGTTCAGCAGCGTGCTCGTGACTACCTCAACCCTGCGGATGTACAGGCGCACTTTGAGGCCGAGCAGAGGCTGGAGGCTGAGCGCGAAAAGATTGGAGTCCAGGTGCCGCAACAGCAGACGCCATCCGCGCTGGGGCTGCATACCTCGCTTCCGCCCACCATTTCTGCCTCTACAATGATGATGATGATGAACAAGGCTCCGCCCGGTCTGATGATGCCTCCTCCCACTGCGCTGCCACCCTCAATGTTTCCGCCCGGAATGCCTCTTCCACCGGGCCACCAGTTTGTGCCGCATCCCATGATGCCTCCAATTTTGCCGGGAATGGTCCCGCCCCCTCCCCCTCCACCTCTAATGATGCAGCAGCAGCAGCAGCAACAACAACAACAACAGCAGCAGCAGCAGCAACCGACTGAGGAGGAACCCTCCGAGGCCAAACGCCCACGCACTGAGACTCCTGTCGCCGAGTAACAGCAACTGGCCGTGGCTTTTCTTCTTTTGTAAACACTTTTCTTCTCATGAGATGCTGTTGTACGCAAGTCTGTTTCTGTTTTATTGTGCTCACACTAGCAAATTCTAAGCAGCCGAAATCTACGTTCTTGCCTTTACTGTATGCGTAATGGGGTCTTGGTACTTTATATTATAGAAAGTGCGTTAACCGACCCGGTTACGCGACATGCTCGTCCCGCTCTGCATTGGGACTCAGTCTATCGACGTTGTGGGCAATCGCACGGCGACCATTGGTACTTGCGGGAAGGAGTACTGACGATGTAGTACTTCTGACGCCTCCTACTGGGGTTCTGTTTGACTCAGCCGGTTCTTTTACCTGGTACGTAGGCCACTTGCGCTTTCCCTCGCCTCCGGTCTTCTTGGCTGACTTGACAGCTGATCCAGGTGGGGGGAAAGGAGAGAGTGCGATGGATGCTGCGCAAGTCCACCAGCACTATGACCTAATTCGCGCTCAAGTCACCGTCCCAGTTCTCACTCTGCTATGGAGCACACGGTGGACATAGTCAAAATTGACTGTCGAACTGTCAGATGGGCTTGCATGAACCTGGAGATCGTCGAATATTTTGTAATATATGCGACCCAGTCACAAGACGAGATAGGCTTAACTTAAGACTGTAGCCACTAGTACCAGCGAACAAAGTTTGACAGGAAATTGTTGGTCATCAGACAATTCCAGTTGTCGTGCGCCCTACAGTTGATTTGGCCTCACCAGAATCCGACTGGATGTTCAACTGTCCACGAAGGCCTCATAGAGAAAGAGCAGATGAAGTTGACTGGGTCTGGAGTAGTGTATCAGGAGAGGAGGCCTAGACGGTAGCATGTACAGGGGTTTGCTATGACGCTACACCTGTCGGCCTTGGAAGTGCCCCACCCTAACCAGTCCGGCCGTCGAGGGCGCTTGAGGAATGGAGTCGTGGCGTCTCTGAGTCGTCTTTCGCTTCCCAATCACAGTTGCTCGGAGAGGAGTAGACGCGTTAATCGCTGTCAGCGCTCTGGCTACGCTAGATTTGGGCATGTTCACGTCAAGAATCACATTCGTGACTGGTGGTCGGACATTTTCAGTACCAGAAACCATCCACTCCATTTCGCAAGTTGGGTTCAGATCAGATCAGCTCAGATTTATTAAGGGAAAAGTAGGCGAGCGCCTTTGAACTCCCTTTTGGTTACAATAACGTCATAAAAAAAACAATGTGTAAGGCAAGTGTGAAAAAATTAGGTAAGTAATTACATACAACAAGCATTGGTCACTGGTATGAATTTGTCTGTGAATGCCTTCTATGTCAAAATTGTACAATATCCAGTACGGCAATGAATGGACCAAGTAATGTCAAAGCAAGCGCATATGTGGCGGTCAGGAGATAGCGAAAATTGTAAAACGTAATGTTACTAAAATATAGGGAGTAGCATGCTTTGTAACATAAAACGTTGGATGGGGCGGGTGGCCCAGGGGGGAATTCGTTAGTTTCTGATGCTGTGGAGGTACATATCCCTGTACTGGTCAAGCTTTCTCTTAAATGAGTCCATAGATGAGGACATGACGACATCCACAGGCAGGGCGTTCCATGCCTTTACCACTCTGTGGCTGAAGAAGGACCTCCTTGCGTCCAGTCTCGCTCCTGTCACACGTAGTTTCAGAGGGTGTCCTCTCAAGCTAGTAGTGGTGGCCAGCTCAAAGAAGTCGCCGGATGCGAGGCAGCAGTCCTGACCCCGTAACATTCTAAACGTTTGAATTAAGTCGCCACGGAGTTGTCTGTAGTCCAGGGGAAAGAGGTTTAGATTTGAAAGTCTGGTTTCGTAAGGTAGGTTTTTATGACCTCTGACAAGCTTGGTTGCCCGTCGTTGGACTTTTTCGAGGGTGGTACGATCCGTAACAGTCCAGGGTCTCCAGGCCTGAATGGCAAATTCTAACTGTGGGCGCACAAACATCCCGAAGACCTTGCGGAAGCACTCTTCATCGAACTTGGCAAATGCCCGCTTAATGAGATATAAGCTGGACATTACGGATTTCGCTGCTTTCAAGCAGTGGAATGATGGCTTTAGTGAAGATGTTATCCACACCCCTAGGTCTTTCTGAACCTCTACCAGTGGCAGCGGTGTGTGATTTAGATAGTACGTCTGCCGGTGCGCAGAGCTGGTTCTGCCAATCCTCAGAATGTTGCATTTGGTAACATTAAATGGGAGGAGCCAGTGGCCTGACCAATTTTCGAGTCGGTCTAAGTTTGCCTGTAAATTTGCTTCATCGTCCTCGTTGCGGATGACGGTCCAAAGCTCTATATCGTCAGCAAACATGGCAATTTCGCAGTCCAATCCATGGATACAGTCATCAATATAGATGAGGAAGAGGACAGGGCCAAGAACGGAGCCCTGAGGTACTCCGCTCGTAACCGTCACCTCTGCCGAGTGCTGGCCACCAAGACGAACAGTCTGGGACC